AGCTGCCAGGGAAGGACCATTTTTTTTTTTTATTTTAATAATAAATTTTATTTTTATATTCCCCATACAATTGCAGCCCCCCATTCTGACCCCAATCTCTCCCCTCCCACCCCCACCCCCTTAAAAGTGTCTCTGGTTCGTAGTTTTTTGTTGATTTTGAAGGACCATTCTGAGATCTGTCCAGAGATTTCTGAGGGCATCCAGGGCGGTCACTCCCCTGGGGGGCTGTCCTCAGTTGTTTCTTGAATAGCAAACACTTCCTTGAAATTCTTCTCAAATTCTGCCTCCAGTTTAAGTCCCCTTAGGCCAAAGTTAACGCTCTGAAAAAAAAAAAAAAAAGTGGTCCTCATTGTTGCCTCCCTGGGAGAAGGAGCAGGACCTTTGTCTTAAACCAGTTCTATCAGGTCACACTAAAACTCAGGCAGCTCAGGGAGCTTCCGTTTCCTCAGAGCATGCTTGTTTCTTCTCAACTAGACAGAAACCACAAGTGACCCCCACACTCGGGGACCCCTTTATTTGGTTTGGGTTATTCCCCTTAGTGAGTGCTAGAAAAGTAACCCACATTTTTAAACAGTTCAAAGACAAGAGTGGAGCTTCATGGGTCATTTCTGTCCCCTCTGGGGGTCCCTGTTAATAGTGGCCTATTCACAGCAGGGATCTGGAAGTGGGGGATTCCCAGCAGTCTGGTTGAGGGGAGCTGGTGGAGGGAAGAAGCACCAGGTTACTTCAGGAGACAATTCTCTCCTTAGGAGGTGGAGCAGGTGGATCTCGACTGTCCCGTGGGTGCCTTTGTGGAGGGCAATGAGCTGTCAGGGTGTAACAGGGTGGTCTCTGGGGAAAAGGGAGGTTCCAGGTTCCCTGCCCCACCTGAGGAGGGAGGGACAGAGCAGGGCGAGGGGAAGCCGGAGAGGGGACTGGAGAAGGAAAAAGGGAGCAGATGGAAGCCAGGAGCCCCCAGCAGGCAGGCGGAGCACAGAGACATGCACAACACTGGGCTTGCTGCTCAGCCTGGGACTTAGACCCGGGCCTTGGGGGACAGGGAAGGAGAGACTTGCCACAGACGGGGGTGAGACACCGGTAGGGAAGTGAACAGTGGCAGCTTTTATCTTGATTTTGATTTTGCTCTTTTCCTTCCAGAGCCTTCTGGCCATTTCTTCCCTCTTCCGATGGGTCCCCACCAGCAGATGCTTCAGGTTTTTGGGTTCAGTGGGCCTGCTCTGGGCCTACCCTGTGTGGGCATTTACCCATGCGGGGATGGGTACCTTTGGGTACTTGATTTAAACATGTTATTCTCTTCTTGTCCTTGTTGCACACTAATTGTAGTAAATCTCCCTTCCATTAAAGGTCTTATGCACTAGAAAAGACAAACTTATGTTTTGTCTTGATGTGGTAGATGGAAGAACTTATTTAGGAAGGGAATTTTGGGGGTTCTGGGGTGCCCCTCACCATGCCCAGTAACAAGGGGTGGGAAGAGAAAGTGCTGGAAGCAGTGGCAGTACAGACCTTGTAAGATACTTTGTGGTTTTGGAAAATGAGGCGCATGTCCTGCACAAACTCCTGCACTCGGGAGTATCCCTGCTTATTTAGCTTCTTCTTGATTTTGTCCAACCACATGGGTTCCTTCAGTTTTTGAGAAACTTCCTTAATCTGGTGAGAAAAATAGATCAATGCGACAGTTACGAACACACTCTGCTTCTGCAAATTCTCACAAAACCCAGCAGAAATGCAACAAGGTCAAGGTAACAGCAGCTCCTGCTCTTAGCCCTTGGACGGGGATCAGAGTCCCCAGGGCCCAGGTCAGGGTCAGGTGACCTCTGCCGCCTGTTGTCATGGCTTCTTGTTACTTACATAATAATAATGTGGAATCCTCTTAAAAAAGGAGCTTTCGGAATGGCCATAGACCTTCATGAGGAGCAAGGCACATTTCTGCAGGAGAAGGGGACTGTGAATGGAGAGCAACTTGGAGAGAATGAGCCCTTATGCATGTCCGGGCAGAGGCATGCCCACCAGTCTTCCAGAAGTTTCCCCAAACATGTATTGGTCTAGGAAGCAGACTTGGAATGGCTGAGCTGTTTTCAAGCAAACAAGTCTCGGTGTGTTCAGCCTCCTGGAGGCCTGGCTCCAAGAGTAGGCTCCCCTGGGGGCCCTCCCCCTCGTCCTTGGCCCATGTGCCTGCTCCTGGGTGAGGGGCAAAGGGAGGTTGGGGGTTCCCAATGCTCTCACCAACTGCTCCTCGGGCTGCATCGGCCTTGCCAGGACCTCGGCCTCCCCCCGACGCGGCTGGCTTCCCGAGGACTCATTCACCTCGCAGAAGGTGCAGCTCCACGGGTCCCTGTGGGTGGGCACAGGTGGGCAGGGGAGCAGCTGTGGAAAGAGCCCCTGCTCCTGTGGCCGTAGCTGTCCTCCGTGAGCATGGCTGGAGGGGACACCTCCCGTCTCCAAGCTCCGTTGTGGGGCCTGAGACAGTGGCCTCCTCCCAGCCAGGGTGGCGGGGGTGGGCAGAACGTGGAGGGACGCCTTTGCTTCCCCATCTGAGCTGCAGGGAGCCCAGGATCTCTGTCCCCAGGCCTGCATGTCAGAAACGGGCTGTGTCCCGGAGGGGCCCAGGCGCCATCGGAGCGGGGAGAGCAGGCCAGGTTCCCTGCCCCGTCTAGCGCAGCACCGGACGCAAACAACTGTCGTCTCCATTTCTGTGAACGGGAGTCCATGCTGGAAGCTTCTAGGTTGGGACAGCGGCCGTCTGGAGACCAGCGATTCCAGCAGCAGAGGAGAGGAAAGAACCGCCCTCCCGGCACAGCAGCTGACATGGTTCTCCGGGGACCACCCTCGGGCCTCGGAGCTCCCGCTCTCTCCCATGCCCATGCCAACTCTGCAGGGGGGACCGGCCCTCACGGGTGGGCACCGTGTCTCACAAACCTCTCCGTGTCCTCAAGGGGGATGTGACAGTCTTTGTGAAAGGACCTGGGACAAGTGTCGCAGCACAGCAGCAGCCCTCTGGCCCCGCACACCTCGCACGTGTTAGAGTTTTCTGGCTGGAAGGTAAAACAGTGCCCGGAGGCCCAGTGAGCTCACAGCTGGCAGCTCGAGGGGTGGTGCCCGCCTGGGTGGGCCTGCATGGACTCTCAGCCCCCAGAGCCAGGGAAGGATGGCAGGGAGCAGGGATTTCAGGAGAGGACATCCTGGTCTGCGGTGAATTCAGGAGGGAGGCTCCGTGTGTCGGGCCTGACAGATTCAGACGGAAAAGCTGCCCCATGAAACCAGAGATTCTATCCCAGAAAGACTGGCGACAAAACAAGACAATTTCATCGGAATCTGAACCATTGTATTAACCTTGCAGATCAAACCAGGTCCTGCAATAAAGTATTAAATTTATGTGCCCAGAGCAGCATGACTAAACTGACTCACAGAAGGGGGATATATTGAAAATTAAATAAGAAGGAAGATATTTGTATGTGTGCAAAGTAATAAGTCACACAAATCAACAGTTACTTTGCATCATGTTCTGGGTTTCTGGGTGAAAATATTTGTGTTGGATGAATTGGGTTCTGGGGATTTCTTTTGTGTGCAAATGGCCGCATATTGGAAACGTTAGCCCAAAGGGATGTCTTGCCAGGTGCTCCCACTGAAAGTTAGGGGATCTGCAAGCACAACCTCTGAGGCTGCTCTGGCACGCAAGCATAGCTCATTTTTCCTCTCAGGGCAGGCTCCCATAGCTCACCATCATTCTCCAGAAAGAGTGACCCTCGTCCCCAGGAGAATAAGGACAACCAAAGTAACCAAAGTTTAAGAATCTTGAATCCATATCTTTTTAACATTTATGTCTCCAGCTCTTAGTTTCTCAGCCCAGCTGCACATAGAATGATCCAGAGAAGAGTGTAAATTAAGAGTTCCTGGTCCCAGGGGCAGTGATTCTGACCAAGTTGGTGTGGGGCGGATGGGCTTGGGTATTGTTCTGAAGCCATACAATAAGTTACTTTGAGTATCAGAGTCATCTGGGACTTTCCCCACAATCTTAATGCCTAAATCAGCTCAGGAGAATTAAATGAGAATTTCCCCTTGGGTGGGTGGCAGGCAATGCAGCCTTTCAGAGGTCTTCAGGGGATCCCAATGTGCAGAGTAAGCTGAGATCTAATCTTGGCAGAATCTGAGTGTCAAGGTATGTTCTGAGTCAATGTTGAGTTGACTTGTGGTATCCGTCCCAGGGGGGATGATTTACACAGATGAGGGTGCTCTTGTTGGAACAGTTGCCACCCTCCCGTGGGCAGTTGGACCTGATCCTTCGTGTCTTCATGCACCCAAACAAGCCTCACAAACACTGGACTCCAGAGCTGTCCAGAAGATTGAAGCTTCCTCAGTTGGCTGAGGGTCAACATCACTGTGGATACAATCGAAACGTTTTGGGAGGATTGTTTGGGAGGTAAAGTGTGTATAAAACTATTTGTCCCTTTTCTCTTGGATGTCAGGTGTCATTATGACTGCATGATGTCCCATGTGAGTGCTGCCCCCTGGAGTTGTGGAGAGAAATCTGTTAAAAAGATAGGATTCAAGATTCTTAAACTTTGGTTACTTTGGTTGCTTTAATGTCAATCTTGTTGCAGTGAAAGAAAGCCATTATGATTTAGCTCTGAGAGTGAAGTCGCCCATAATTTTGGCAGATTTAAAGCAGGAAGCCATATTTAAACTGAGTGAAAATGCCCTGTGATTGCCATTAGTGATGGTTTCAGCCCCCTGAAGGCCCTGGGGATTGGGTACAGGGTTCTATAAGGGACCCACTGGCCTGGCGCATGTCTCTCTGCAGGACTCACGACAGGACCCACCCTTGAACACAGCAGCTCAATCTGGCCTATTCCTTCTGACTCATATATGTATTTTTTTAAGATTTGTTTTCTATTTATTCATGCATGCAAGAACTGGGGTGCAGGCCAGAGGTGTAGGGGTTGGTGAGAGGATTCACCAGTGACAAAGTGGGGAGCAGAACAGGCAGATCTACTGAAATATGCTGCTGAGGGGAGCAGCAGGCAAGACAGGAGAGGTCTGCTGCGCCTTGTGGGTCAGCTCCCTGGCCTGGGATTGAACTCGTGTTGCAGTGGCTGGCAATATCTCGATAGTGCTGAGACTTAAGCCCTTGCACCACCAGTGAGGTCCCAACCATCTGGCTGATGTTTAAAACATCCTTAGCTCTGCCTGCACCTGGAGTGAATGCCTGGGCTTTCCTTCTACCACCTTCTTTAAAATGCAGCCACCCTTCAACCTTGCTTCTCACCGCTCATCTGCAGACCAGCTGTGGCCATGATCACATCAACCTCAATTTTAGAGGCCACAGTGGTCTAGAACTCGGCCTCGCACACCCGCTTTCCAGGGGAAATGAGAAAATGGGAGTCTCCACTGGACAAATGGAAAGGAGCTTTTGCCCTGAGACACACCCCAGTACCATCTACCTGGCGAGGGTTATGTGTCTGTGGCTCTCTGCTCATCTCTGCTAATCTACTGAGTGTGAGCCTCAGGGGAACATATCAGACATAGACGATGCACCAAGGGGAAAGGCCTGGGTTGTCTGGGGTTCCAGGTGGGGGTTAAAACTTACATAAGGATCAGGCCTCCCAGGCGGCGCAGCAGTTGAGAGCTGGGTTGCAAAGCTGCCCGCAGCCTCTGCAGCGCCAGTTTGATCCCCGGCTGCTCCCTGGCCACCGGAGGAGGGTCCCACATGGCGCGCAGACCTCTCCTGCCGCCCGCTGCTCCCCTCAGCAGTGTACTTCGGTCCTTCTGCCTGCTCTGCTCCCCGCTCTGGCTCTGGTGAATTCTCTCGCCCTCCCGCGCTTCTGACTGTACCCAGTGCTTGTATAAATAAATAAATAAATGAATAAATAAATCTTTAAAAAAAAAAAAAAAACTTACATAAGGATCAACTGAGGGATAACCGAAAGAATTCTGTGTTTTCCCCTGAAAAGAGAGAAAGATTAAGTGACAATATTGAATGGGAGCTTGAATTAACCACTTATTAAACTGCTGCCTGTTAAAGGATTCTAGTCACAGTCTACTCAGTCTACTCAGGGTTTCAGTTGTTTGTATGGCCTATATTTGGGCTAGAAGTCTTCCAAGTGCCAGGCGCCACCTCATGGCCCCGTGAACTTCCTTCTCTGGCTTTCAGACCCAAGACAGACCTTTGCATGGTCATGTAGGAGTCTGGCCCTGTTTTCAATGATGGAATTAGAGAAAATGTCCTCCGAGGGGCATTCAGGCATTTTCTCTACACCAGAGGGCCTTGTCCCATGGGAGGAGGTGCAACGAGTGTGTCGGCTCAGGACGCATCACCAGCAGCCCCAGTGCAAAAAGCCCCAAAGATTAAACTGCATCCCAGGTTCCCAGTGCTATAATTCTTCCAGGAGGCCACCCTCATCTCCCCTCCATCCAAATCCCAAGATGTCAGCTGGCTGACTATTCAGAGGTCACTGACTGCCACCTACTAGGTTTATGTTGCTTTTGCTTATCCAGTAGAACCACCTGGCCTCCTTCCCTCCTGGGATCTAGGCACCTGAGCTTATATACAGCCAGGACAGAGAGGTGATAGACATGTGTGACCCATGGGAGAATGACCCTAGCAGTGGCCATATCACTGCCCACCTCTCTACAAGGCCTAGAGGCCCGTTCCCATCACCCCCATGAGTTATTCTTCCACGTTAGACAGTGAAGTTGAAACAATCCTTAAGGTCAAGGATATTATTTCAGTCTTCTTCAATGTCCATTGAGGATTAGTCCCTGAGGGACCCAGGCCTAAATCAGCCCATTGAGAACAGGCCACATTTCTTGCCTTTTTAAATAAGCACAAAACACAAAGATTGTGCTTGATTATTACTTAGTGACTGAATAAACAAGTATTGTTTTGCTTAGGAAAAGTGATTGTTTGCTATCTCTAAGCAAATATTACCAAACAATAAATGGTTGTTCCAGAGGAGTGTACTGATCATTTCAGAACATGGCAACTGTCACTGGGACATGTGCATGGCCCTTGTCAGGAGACAGGAAACTGTTGTGGTTACCAGAGTGACAATGAAGTTTCTAGAGACCAAGGGGCTCTGTCAAAACTCGAGATCCTCTGGGAGGTACAGAGGGCCCCTGGGGTAGTAATAAATCCTGGGACCTCTCTGGGAGGCTGTTCTCCTCATGGGAGACTTAAGATGTTTCTTGGTCGACTCAGGAGAAGCCAGAGGCAATAGCAGCTTGTTGCAAACAATGTTGTGCTCATGACTCAGGGTAGATATTGTACATAGGAAGCTGCCAGTTCACGTGGGTGATCTAGACTGAGGGGGTATTGATGCCTGGAGAATGGCCCCAAAGCTGGTTGTTAACATACTCACTAACAAGGGCAAACAAGCGTTTCCCTTTGGGTAATGCTGGGGATGAAACATCCCAGAACTGATAGCTCAAACCATCCAGAACATCAGGTCATTTAAAGGCCTGGACCTCAAATTGCTGTTGGAAGGTGAAGTCCTATTGGCCAACTAAGTGTGACTGAGCTGAGAGCTCTGTGAATGTCTCAACATCTATTTCTATCTGTGGTATTTAAGAATTACATTTCTTCCCCACCATTCTTCCTCAAATGCTCATCCATGTCTAGCGTGAAAATTAATAAAGGAACATCCACTAAAACTGAAGTTGGGAAGGCCTGTAAAGGGAACTCACATATCACTACTTGACATTGTCATGCACGTTTCATTCTTGCATGCCCCAAAGGGAAGAAGCAAACCCTTACACTTCCAAACAGGAAGAAGTCACTTTAGTATCCCAAAGGGAGAGTCATCCTGCACAGCAATACCTCCACCAATAAGAAGTGCTGTCACTCGTCACCAAGTAGCTACCACCCCCACCCCATTCCCCTGCTTTCCCCAATAACAGCAGGGTTCCCACCTTTGAGTATCTGGATTTGCTTATAGTTCACTATTGCAATTATGTGCATTTTCCAAATTTCAGTTCACCTGCTTTTCTCAAATGTACCCATTTTCTTGGTAAAATAACTGGTTATTTATCTTGTATATCCAAACCAGTCTTAGAGAACCATCAGCTTGTCCTGAATCTACTCCGCCCCTTACAAGCTTGACTGCCCTCTCCATAACTCTTCCATAAAAGGAGAAATCACCTTCACAGTGATAAGGGAGGTCTGCACAGCCTCCCTGGTAGTGCCAAAGGGGTGGCATCAAAGTGAACAGAACTATATTCTAGGGTAGCCCCTCCTGTGCAATACGTCAGTCTCCCAGAAGTTTTCTCAACAGCACCATCCTCGTGAAGGGGAGATACATACCCCTTGAAAATAATTTTTCATGCCTGTGTGTACATTTTGTTACAAGGTATAAGGAAATGTAAAGGCTCCAAAAAGAAGTTGGCTTTTGTTTGCCACCCACATGGAATGGTATATGGCTTCAGTCCCCCAGCCTAGCCATCTAGTGAAGGTGAGCAAAGTTTTGCTCCCTCTGATTTAAATCAAGGTAGAAAATAGTATGAAAGGGAAAAAAAAAACCTGTAAGTTGAAGATGACCCTATCATTTTTTAGGAAATGTTTTCCTGTATACCATACCCAAACACGTTTGCTTTTCCAACTTGGACACGCTTACTACCTTTACATCAATTGCTAAAACTCATCCCTGAGTTCTATTTGGATGACTCTTTATCATCTGCATCTCAAATGGTTTACCATTCAAAGAAGACCTTGCCTATACAATATGACTGTTCATAGCAGCTATTTTGAAGGTACATGGGAACAAAAAACAACAGGTAGGATGGATGGATGAAGCTTAACTTTACTTACCTACATGGGGACCACGAAATAACATATTGAACATGTCAAACCAGTTAATAAGAAGAGCTTGTAGAAAGTTATATAATAATCACCTTTCCTCTCCTGTTATAGTTTCTTGGAGGTTTATCTAGAAATCCATCCTGAGAGAAAAAAAGATCCAAGTACATGGTTAGCCTGTGCTTTTGTTTCGTGAGTCTGGCATTTTGAACCTCTTCCCAAATATTTCTACCTGAATGTCCCACTATCAACTCAAACTCAAAGTGAGAAACCATCTCTCTCTCACCCACACACTTGTAATTCTGGAATTCAATCAATTGAAGCTGGTATCTGTAGCGTCTCCTTTCTCTTGTGCTTTTCCCCTAAGATTAAGAGGACTTTCTTCACGATGTCTTGGACACATCACACCTCCTTTCCATTTTCACCAATGCCACCCTAGCTTGTGTCCTTACACCAGGGCAATTCCATCAGTCCTAAACCTACTGGATGTCAGGCACTCTGCTCAGCCATGGGCACACAAAGATAGACAACCCTCAGAGGGGTCTAGAGAGAAAAAGAAAATGCATGGAAGGATAAATAATCAATGGCATAAGAAGAGTCTTAATAGAGGACTCTGGAAGCCCCGGTGAGGGGTGGCCAGGGCCAGCTCAGCCAGGGAATATTCAGAGAGAGAGTTGACATTTGAGCTGAGCACTGTAGGCTGAATATGGGTTTCTTGGGTTGAAAGACATTGATGGCATCAAGGTCCCCTGGCTCTCCAAGAGAGTGTCTATGAGTTTAAACTCATTAGCTTGACCTTACACCCTTGCAAACAACCCCCACAGGTGGATCACACACAGTCTGTCTGCCTTAACTTTGACTGTGGTTCTGATTTTCATATCATGCTTTCCATGGATTGTCTTCTTCCCATGTGCATCACTGTCGACGCCTCTTTCAGTGCACGAAGCTGTCTGTGTTTATCGTCAGAATGAACTCTCCCTCCCTCCACCCCTGCATTTCTTCTGACAGAGCGCCTTTTACTACATTTATGTGCTGCACTGTACTGAGGTTATGATTGTGGGCCTCTTTTCTCCCAAGTGTAAGGCTAAACTCAGAGGCATCAGGGCTTAAACTATAACTCAGCAAATACTCAGGGAGCAAATGGTGACCACACCGTGGAGTATATCAAGGAAAGTCACATTTCCTGCCCCATCACCGCCATACCTCTATCAGCATTTGCAGGGGTATCCCACCACAGCGCAAACTCTTCTTCCAATTCTTTGATCTTTCAAGGCCTCCTTTGACTTCAAATGCCCTGGGGGTGAGCCAATTTCCATCCTCACATTGTATACACCGTACAGAGGTTCCTGCAAGATGAGCATACATTGGTTTTGAGCTCTCTTTGTTCTCAGAATGCAGAAGGTGGTCTCCACCCCAATGGACATGGATACACCCATTAGGGCTCAAGATCAACAATGGGAGGGGGGTGACCAATTTCAGAATCCTCAAGCCCAGCCATTTAGTGCCCTCACAGGAGACTTCCTACTTTCTGTGCATATTTCTTTCAGTTTGTACAACAAAAATTGATAATTACCATCAAAATCTACCTTCTAAAAGGTTTCCAAATCACCTACAAAGAAAAAGGAAGTGATTCTGAAGAGTGGGAGGATTTCAATGTGATATTGAATTCTGGGGCTTGAGAATAGGACAGAGTTTCCAGTTAACTGTGGTGACAAGTGGCAGCAGAAGCTCAGGTTGCTCAGGGATGGCAGTTTCGGAGGTGGGGGGCAGGGGTGGCGTGTGCTGCTCAGAATGGCACCCCAACCACATCCACCACATGACTCATTGAATGGCTCTATTGAATAGAGACTTCTCCACCCCTGAATCCTGTTATCTGGCAGAAATTTTCAGTTATGTGTAAAAGAGTCTAGTGGTAAACATCATTAATCATTAGAGAAAATCAAGTCAAAACCACAGTGAGAAACTATTTCCTATTCACTAGGTGAACCATAATAAAAAAAGAGAATAACCAGAGTTGGAAAGGAAGTAGAGAAATTGGAGCCCTCATATGTTGCTGATGGGACTATAAGCTGGTACAGCCACTGTGGAAAACATTTTGGTGTTTCCTTAACAACTTAAACAGAGAATTAGGACATTTTCTGTTTCACCCTGGCAGTATACCCCAAAGAATTGAAAATAGATGCTCATACATAAGCTTTCACGTAGATGTTCACAACAGCATTATTCACAATAGTTAAAAGAACGGAAGCAACCCAAGCTGAGAAGTGGAGAAAAAAGATAGGGTATATCCATACCATTAACACTGCATTATTTGAATTAAAAGAGGCAAAATACAGCAGTACAAGGATGACCCTGGATAACATCAAGCTAAGTAAAAGAACCAATCACAACAGGCATATATTACAGATTGCTTTTGTATGAGATCTCTAGAAGGGAATATTTATAGGGCAGAAATTAGATCTGTGACTGATTAGCACTGGGCGGTGAGGTAAGGTGGAGAGTTTTTGACTGCTAATAAACCTAGGGCTTCCTTTGGGAGGGGTATTCTAAATCCATAAGGTGGTGATGACTGTATAATCCTGTGACTGTACAAACAAAACTCAACATTGAACTGTACACTCTTAGTGCTGAAGAGTATGACATGTGAGTTTTATCTCAGTAAAGCTGTTCAATTCTTTATCTGACTTATGTAAAGTAATTCCTCATACTTATACCATGAAGCGGGGTTTTATTATTCTCTTTTTGGATGAGAAATTTCAGCCTCAGGGAGGTTCCCTTCTCTACTCAAATGAATCTGTCACTCTTGGCATCGTTGAGGCGGGGAATTGGGTTTTCTGTTCTAAATTCTGGGCTCTTCTTATGGCGTTGGTGTCCTGTCCTTAGCATAATGAGCCAGAAGGGATACAGGTTATAAAGGTGGAGGCGAAGTCCCTCCCTTTTCTCTGGTTCGTTGGGCAATCCCATGGACACATCTGTGTGGGAGTGAGCACCTACTGTGTAGACTATGTCCACCATCTTAGGGATCCCTTCCTCCCCCTCTCAAGTCAGCTGCAGCCCCAATTTCTTGAATGATGTCTAATGCACATGGATAATTCCACTGCTCCATGGGATCCCATCAGATAGGAGTTGAAAATTAAAGTAGACCATGACACCCACCTCGTTGCAATTTCCTCTTATATAACATCCCTGTCACCTCACCACAGGTCACAGGCAGTATTTGAGAGTGAAAATCCACATTTTCATGTCTGTGATTTCTTGATCCTGAAAGAGATTTCCTTGTTCCATCTCATTTTGCAATTGCACACCTCCCCCCACCCCACCCCTGCCCACCTTGAGCTTTTTCCTAAAAAGACAGAGGGGTACTTAGGAAAGTTGACTGCACAAGTCTCTAGTTACTTCTAGGGTATATCCATACCATTAACACTGTATTTTTTTAATTAAAAGAGGCAAAGTGTCACTTTTAATACAGAACTCTTGATGTCTACCTCTATATCATCGTCAAATCTCACACAAAGAAAATGCTTTAGCAGAGAAACTAGGATCCATCAAACTGTCTTAACTCCTAATTTATCAGTCCTCCACAGGACACTAAGTGTAGACTGTGGTCACAGGCTGAGGGAGCAGTCCAGCTGTAACTCGCTCACTGAAGTTAGGTAGCTGGAGACAAATCAGACTGAACTTGTCCCTCCTGACAGGACTCTGACCGCAAACTGAGAGAGGAGATGGCCTCTGACTTCTACTTGTGTTCTCTGCTTTACTGCATGTCACTTTCACATTAGTTTTCTCCAGAGAGGAAAGATCTCAGGGAGTTCTAGAACATTCTGCAAATGGGATGGGTGGAAGGGGGCTGGAGATGTCATATCTACAGAAGGCCTTTGAATGAATAAACTGAAAGAGGCTGTATCTTTCCAAATAAAAATGTCTTCACAAAGAGAAGAAGCCACATACTGAATGAAGGTGGCTGTGCTTCCCTATTAACCCTGGGCCATGCAGCATGGACTATTAAATTTGTGAGAAATAAACCATTTTTGAAGGCAGGTATGTTGGGGCCTCTTTTTACAGTGTCTATGCCTATATCCTAACTGACAGGACAGCTCAGAAACTGTCATGGGAGACTGTAAGAGGCAAGAAAACCAAAACCATAAGCAGTGTCTTAATAAACTGACTATTTCTCTTGGTGCGCTTAGCATTTTGTGTGTTTCTCCGGATTCTCTTAATTCTTGTCCAGGAATGTCCTTTCTTTTTTTCTTAAAAAAAGAGAGAGAGAAGTTAATCATTCAGAGCCATAAATGTAATTCCCAAAGCCTGTGGTTAATAATTTTCAAGTTTTTTTTTTTTTTTTTTTTCCAGACTGTGATCCACAAGAATGGGGCAAAATTCTTAACTACCAGTGAGGCTGATTCTGAGTTACATTGTCCTCTGCATGTACCTGAGAGATTCTAGGGGATGAGCTTCCCTTAAAAATTAGAAAAAGCAACATTGGAAAATATTTTGCTGGTGTCTTAGACTGAAAGGTAACTGTTGTGGTTGTATATATAATACATAGATAACACAGTCTTGGAAAGTTGCATATGCCTAAGAATTTTTCCATTTCTTCAAGATTGCCCAATTTGTTGCTGTGTAATTATTCATCATACTCTGTAATTATCCTTTTTATTTCTGTAGTATCTGTTGTAACTTCTTTTTTAGTTATAATTTTTTGTGTTTGTTTTCTGTCTTCTTAGTGAGTCTGGCTAAACATTTGTCTATTTTGTTAGTCTTTTTAAAAGAACCACTTTCTGGTTTTTAAATCTCCATTTTGTTAATTTCTGTGCTGATTTTATTACTTCCTTTATTCCAATTTAATCTTTATCACTTTACTTAGCAATCTCCTTAGGTACATACTCAGAAAGTTCTGCCTTTGCATATCTTCAGGACATATCTTGAAGATATTATAGGTTTACCACGTTCTTTGCTTTCTTCCCTCACTAGGAAACTCTTTGGCATCTAAATTTTTGCTAACAAATTGTGCAAGGCTATCCAGACATTTTCTATCCTTTTATTTGAAGTTCTTCCCATTTGCCAATCTTCCTCTGCCCATTGCCCAATTCTGAAACCACATTCATATTTTTAGGTATGTGTGATAGCTGCACCCCACTTCCAATAAGCAAGATCTGCGTTACTCTTCCTTTTTTTTTTTTTTTTGCCATAACAAGTAACCCAGATTTAGTGGGTTTTCATCTTATAACTATGTGGGTTAGAACTCTGACAAGATTTCTTTGGGTTCAAATCAAGATTTCAGCTGGTCTTTGTTTCTTCCTGGAAGCTATGAAAGTGCATTTATTTCCTTGAATTTTCTGGTTTCTAGGGGTGACCTACAAACTTTGCTCTTTCCCTCCATCTTCAAAGTCAGCAACATTGTCTCTCTCTGTGACTACCTTCTTCAGCCACTTCTCTCCCCCATCAGGAATGATTCTCCACTTTTTGAGGCCTCTATGATTATATTGGGAGCACCGAGATAATCCAAGGTAATCTGCTCTTGCAAGGTACCTCCTTGATTATATTGTAAAATACTTTTCACCATGTAAAATAAGGGATTGCATGATCCAGAGATTAAGCTATGGATATCTATAATGAAAGTGACATTAAAAAACTTCTTTTAACCCCCAAAGCAAGTAAAATCTTAGTCATTCTTACTTCTCTTCCTCTTGACTCTTGCCAAAGTAGAGTTGGTTCCAAGGTCTACAGTGCCTAGAAAACAGCAAGTGATAGCAAAGAACTCATAGAGGCCAGTCACCACTCAGCCTGGGGTCTGTGGTTGCTCAGGGTCACCCCCAAACCACGGTCTTCAGGCAGCCTTACCTATCATGTCACACGCTTGGCTATGTTCAGGCCCTGCTTTCCAACTTGCTGGCACACATTTGGGGGAGCACATTACACACGGACATGTCTCTTTTTCAAGGGCTGGTAACTCTGTTTTTGGGTTAAAAGCATGATTTATGAAGAGTTTTATTTGTCCCAGTGACCCTCTCCTCTGTACCCTGCTTGATCCCCATTTATCTATTCTTCCTTTGAAGTCTTTCATTGGGGGCAATAGTTGACTTTTTCTAAACTTGGATACGAAGTATACAAGGTCTACAGTACCTAGAAATCAGCAAGTGATAGGGAAGAAGTCATAGAGGCCAGTCACCACTCAGCCTGGGGTCTGAGAGGTATACTTTGTATACAGGTATACAAAGTACTCTCTTTGGTCTTATCAGAATTCTGTTTTTTAATTATTTTTAAGTCATTATTACTGTGACCATCATAGGAGAGGAGGCTAGCTTCTGAAGCCTCTTTATTCATTTGCAGAACTTCTAGTTCACCAGAGACTAAAGAGAAACAAAAAAGCCACAGTCCAGGGATCCTGAAACCAGCCTGGGAAAACGCTCCTGGTGCTCTCATGCTACACACTGATCTTCTGAGCTAAGACGAGCTGCCTTCTGGAGAAAAAGTATCTCTGCTCCAATAATCACATCTGAGATCTAACAGAACCACGCTTCCTCATCTTTTGCACCTCATTCTGCTTTCTCTCCCATGTTTTACTTGCAACTCAAAGAATAAAAAAGATCTTGTCCTTTTGGTGGTGGTGGGGGGAATGCTGCTTTGAAAATTTTAGGTTACCAGAACCAGTTTAACTCAACCCCATTGGCCAATGACTATTTACACCACTAATTTAAAGCTAGCTAGTCACAGGCAGCCTTAGACTTTTGGAAGTCAGTCGACCAGCCAGAGTCACTCCAGAAATCTGTGTCTGTGTCCATTGAGTCTGCCTGTTCCTGACCGTGCTGTGCTTCCTGAACGTTAGAAGATAGTGACCAAAACACGTGGATGGAGGCACAGACTTGACAAATCCACAGTCAAGTCAGCCCCAAAGACCAGGTAGTAGACATGGGTCTATTAGTAGCCAATTTATGCAAAGACAGTTGGACACACTTTAGCTTCATTAAAACTTTCATGAAGCTACTTGCCACCTATCAGTTTGTGAAAGAAAATAATTTTATCGAGTACATAATTTGATTGCAACTATGAGGTATCTGCTCGTGTGTCCCTTTGGAGTGTTTACCTTGGCTGATGAGCCCAAGACCCCATCATGTGCAAGACACACTCACACCTATGTTGTTCACTGTGAACTGTCTTTGCCAAAGTCACAATCTCCCACCAGCATCATACTGAGTGCACAAAAGGAAGAGGGAGTTTGTACACTTGGTGTGATTCTAACTTTTGCACATAACTTAAAAAACAGCAACATTTCACAAAAGGTCATTTTGGGCTTCCATGGAAATATTGACACTTGAAAAATGAAAAATGCATGAGATGGTATTCTATAAAAGGAAAGAAAAAATTACCAAAATTTCCATGTTCAATCAATAGCTGTTTCTTTCAGACTATTATCTAATGAATACTCCTTTCTTTTCTTTAAAAAAAAGTTTATAAATTTAATAGGTATGGATCTACTCTACAAATAAAACTACCAGACTAAGTGTACTAAAGAAAGACTAACTTTAGAATATCTGGAAAATTCTCCTGCATAGGATCTATTTATACTTAATCTGAGCATCAGCTTACCTACACAATGAGTGATTCAAGATCTGCAGTAGTAAGCTAAATAGGTCCACCTAAGTGCTGTTGTGCCTAACATAATGACAATCTCTTCTAAAGCCAAATTCCTTTCTTTAATACATTGATGTTCAGTTTTTATTGATGTCAAGAGTTGATGAGAATTTCCTATATTATTGGCTTGGGGAAATCAATGGTTTATGTGAATAATTATTTTCTAGATATTAACATAAGCCCCATTCTAGGCAGAATTAAGAGGAAAACCCTCAGGAAACACCATCCTCCTGACACCTACATCCCAGACAGTCCCCACCTCCCTTACCTGATCCACTTTCTGTTGGGGAGTTCAATGCTTGCTGGAGCTGTTCCTCATCATATGTTTCTAAATCAGTATCACTGTCTTCTGCTGAATAGAATTAAATCTCTTAGAGAACCTGGCGTGTGACCAAAGGAAACCCTAACTGTGAAGCCCCCGAGATTTTCTTCCCTTACTCCAGGGATTGTAAACATCATGTCGCTACCCCCTCTTTTAGATGATGTCATATGGCACAGTTTATATTAGTTCAGAGAGTGTCACAGCAAGAGATAACATGCCAGTGAGGATGCAGAGAAAAGTGAACCCTTGAGCACTGTTGTGGTTTGAGGATTAGGACAGCTGCTGCAGCAAACAGGGTGGAGTTTCCAGCATGGAGTTGAAAATACAATTACCATGTTGCCCAGTAATTTCATTTCTGGGCATATAGACCTGGAGGAAGTAAAGTCACTTTGTTGAGAAATAGGTATTCCCCCTGTTCATTGCATGATTATTTGCAATAGCCAAGGTATGGAAACAATCTAGGTGTCCATCAACAGACAAATGGATAAAGAATATGTGATTCACACACACACACACACATACACACACAGTACCCTTATTCAATAAAGAGGCATCCTAGGATTTTGTTTTCACTATCTACTTCCAGAAGGTATATTTTGTGTGTCCCTATACTGCATCCTGACTTAATATTATCACTTTATGACAAGTTTTATCACAAAGGTTAAAATTAGGATAAAATGAAATGAAAAGAAACTGAATTGAATTGAATGGAACTGAATTGAATTAGATTTAATGAAATACCACATTGGCGATGCAATGACTGCTTCAGACTCTCTGGTAGAGTCCCACCCATGCAGAAAGCAAAATTATCCGAAGTAGGTAAAGTTAGTCACATGTGTCTAGAACATATCAAACTGCTAAGACCAAAAGCTGCTATGCCCTTGGAATAGGCCATAACTTCTAAATGTTGTGACCTTCTGTTTTAAATCTATTCAAGCAGGGCCTCCCCTGGTGGAGCAGCAGTTGAGCAGTGGGCTGCGAAGCTGCCTGCAGCCTCTGCAGCGCCAGTTCAATCCCCTTCCTCTGGCAAGGGTCCCACATGGCGTGACAGACCTCTCCTGCCGTGCCCACTGCTCCCCTCAGCAGTGTACTCGGTCCTTCTGCCTGCTCTGCTCCCTGCTCTGGCTCTGGTGAATTCTCTCACCCTCCCATATTTCTGACTGTACCCAGTGCTTGTATAAATAAATAAACAAATCTTAAAAAAAAAAAATCTATTCAAGCACCCACATAAAAAACGGATATCAAATGAATTATTTGACATCTTTACCACCCAAAGTGCCTCAGAACATGCCAACAATTGCAAGGAATAGATAGCTTCTACTCAAATTCATGAATAAGATTTTCCTGGATGCCTGGATTTTCACATCAACCATCACATTTTCCTTTGCACTTATGAATGTTCCACTGAAGTTAATTAAATTTTTGTGCAACACTTGTTTTTTCCACTATGTGGAATCCTGTGTGCTACAACTGACTGTAGGAAGATCTACAACCCCAAACAAAAACCTCCTATCATGGAATTTTTTAAGGTTTCCTATCCCTGCATTTCTCCAAAGGGCCAAGGTAACTATGAAGAATGGTATTTGAGGGCCTCCCTGGTGGTGCAGCGGTCGAGCGCTGGGTTGCAAAGCTGCCCGCAGCCTCTGCGGCGCTGGTTCGATCCCAGGCTGCTCCCTGGCCACTGGAGGAAGGTCCCACTAGGCGCGCAGACCTCTCCTGCTGCCCGCTGCTCCCCTCAGCAGTGTGCTTTGGTCCTTCTGCCTGCTCTGCTCCCCGCTCTGGCTCTGGTGAATTCTCTCACCCTCCTGTGCTTCTGACTATACCCGGTGCTTGTATAAATAAATAAAATAAATAAATCTTTAAAAAAAATGGTATTTGAGAATTAACTGCACTTTTGATTGTGGGGTGTGCTCAGAGGAAAACCCTCAGGAAGCACCATCCTCCTGACCCCTGCTTCCCCAACAATCCCCACCTCCCTTACCTGGCTCACTTCTTGCTGGGGAGCTCAATGCTTGCTGAGGTGATTCTTCAGCAGACATTTCTAAACTGGTATCACTGTCTTCTGCTGAATAGAATTAAATCTCTTAGAGAACCGGCATGTGACCAAAGGAAACCACGGCTGTAAACCGAGGGGTTCACAAATCTCATGGGTGAGACTGTCGCTGGCCTCATGCTCTCCTGGACCTAGGGGTTAAGGAAGCTTCGGCCACAACCATGGGGACTGAAGACACTCCACCTGTCTCTCTCCCTCCCTGTACACTTACTCTCTCTCCTTTTCAATCTGTGCACACTTCTTCCATGTAAGTGCATGATGAGGGACAGAATAAGAGAGAAGGTGGAGGGGGCAAAAGGCGCCATTTCTGCGGTCATTGAACTGCGCTACAGCCCACGTCCTGGACCTGAGGGCTTTGGAACTGAGACCCGGGACACGAAATTCGGGGCGTGGGTTCTCCACGACGGTGGGGCCCAAGGCAGACACAGCACCCCAAAGCCGTTGAGGTTTACCCTACCATTCCCGCTCTGTTCCCTCTCCCACGGGGTGAAAAAAAACAGTTCCCCAAGGACACTAGGAGAGATCTCTGGTGCCACCTAGTGACCAGAAAAAAAGTCACTAACACCCCATGGAACAGGGACCTTTCTTCAGAAAAGACTGCTTGAAAACGGCAGAAGGCTCCCGGAGGAGCCAGTGGCCAGCTGGGAAGTTAGCCCACACCGGGCCCCTTCCGACCAACAGTCTGAGCCCAGAGGGGGAGCGGGCACCCAAGGCCGGGGCAGACCGGGTGCGCAGAAGATTATGCCTGAGACTGGACGCGCAGGGAGTGAGTCCTGCATTGCCATTTTAGAACAGGGACATTTCTTCAGTAAAGACTGTCTGAAACCAGCAGAAAGCTCCCTCAGGAACCAGAGGTGAGCGGGGAAGTTCGCCCACACCAGGCCCCTTCTGGCCTGCAGTCCAAGCCCAGAGGGGGAGCGGGAACCCACCGCCAGGGCAGACCAGGAGCACAGGAGAGTGTGTCCCCACATTGGCATTTTAGAACAGGGACCTTTCTTCAGTAAAGACTGCTTGAAACAGACAGTTGGCTCCAGGAGGAGCCAGAGGGGAGTGGAGAAGTTCACCCAAGATGCTGACCAGTCCCAGCAACACAGTGTCCCAACGCATACGGCAAATTAGAAAACAGACAGTAGGGAGTAGAAGAACCACACGCAACCTAACAACTCCACAGGAAAAAAGCACACCACAAAAAGAAAACCACCCCCCAGATTGCAACGACAGTAACTTGGAAGAACTTCTGAGCCTTCCAGAAAGAGAATTTAAAATTGCCATGATTAAAAAAGTGACAGAACTCATAAAGGAAAACAATGATATGAGAAAAATAATCAACGATCAGAAGAATGAAATTGAGTCCCTAAAGGAGGAAGCAAAAGAAAAAGCAGAATAGATGAAATGGAAGAACGAATAAGTACTCTTGAAGACACAGAAATAAAAAGAACCAAAACAGAAAAGGAAAGAGAAGTACGAAGGAAAAAGACGGAAGAAAGACTTTGGGAACTATCTGACTCCGTGAGGAAAGGAAATATAAGAGTTATAGGAATACCAGAAGGAGAGGAGAGAGATGTAGGAACAGAGAAAATATTCAAAGAGATAATTGAAGAGAACTTCCCAAATGCGAAGAAGGAGCTGAAAATTGATATACAAGAAGCAAGAAGAACACCAAAATTCCACGACGAAAGGAAAAATACAGCAAGACACATAATAGTAAAGCTCCCAAGATCCAGGACAAGGAAAAAATAATGAAGCTGACAAGAGGGAAGAAACAGATAACATTCAAAGGAAAACCAATCAGGCTGACATCGGACTTCTCCGAAGAAACACTACGGGCAAGGAGAGAGTGGAGGGACATAGTCAACAGACTCCAAGAAAACAGATGCCAACCAAGAATATTCTATCCCGAAAAGCTCTCCTTCCTCTATGAAGAAAGAATAAGGACCTTCCCAGACAAACAGAAACTCTGGAATTTCATTACAACTAAACCCCCACTCCAAAAAATACTACAAGGAAACCTAAAGCCAGAACCTCAGAGGGATGAATAACAACGAAAGAAGGCCAAAAAAAAAAAGTTATTAAAAGAATAAATAAATAAAATCAAAGGAAAGACAAACACAATGGCAAATACAGATGCTAACTTATCAATATTAACTCTAAATGTAAATGGACTAAACTCTTCAATAAAAAGACACAGAGTTGCAGCCTGGATTAAGAAACAAAACCCAACCTTTTGCTGTCTCCAGGAAACACATTTAGCTACAAAAGATAAAAATAAACTCAAAGTTAAAGGATGGAAAACAATCCTACAAGCAAATGGACCAAAAAAGAAAGCAGGAACAGCTATACTTATATCAGGTAAAACAGATTTCAAACTCAAAAAGATAAAAAGAGACCCCAATGGTCACTACATTATGATCAAGGGGACAATACTTCAAGAAGAAATAACACTCATTAACATATACTCACCAAACGAAGGAGCACCAAAATATATCAGACAACTGTTGTCCTCTCTGAAAACAGACATCAGAGAAAACACATACGTAGTGGGAGACTTCAACACACCACTATCAACAATGGATAGACCAACAAGACAAAAAATAAGTAAAGAAACTAAAGCTCTAAATAAGGACGTAGAGCATTTGGGCTAACAGACATCTATAGAACACTAAACCCCCCAAAAACGGAGTACACATTTTTCTCAAGCGCACACAGATCATTCTCCAGGATCGATCACATACTGGGGCACAAGACAAACATCAACAGATACACCAAGATTGAAATCATATCAACCATCTTTTCTGACCATGAAGGCATCAATCTAGAAATAAACCATAAAAAGAAGGCAAGGAACTCTCCTACCTCATGGAGATTAAAAACCACACTACTGGAAGACCACTGGACTAATGAGGAGATCAAAGAAGAAATTAAAAAATTCTTTGAATTGAATGACAAGGAGGACACAAATATCCTAAATGTATGGGATGCAGCAAAAGCAGTAATAAGAGGAAAATATATAGCAATAGAAGCTCACATTAAGAAACAAGAAAGAACTCAAAGAAGCAACCTAATCTCGAAGCTCAAAGATCTAGAAAAAGAACAACAAAAAACCCCCAAAACCAGTAGAAGAAAAGAAATAATAAAAACCAAAGCAGAAATAAATGAAATTGAAACTAAAAAAACAATCCAAAAGATCAATGAAACCAAGAGCTGGTTCTTCAAAAAAATCAGTAAAATAGACAAACCCCTAGCCAGGCTCACAAAGGAAAAAAGGGAGAAAGCACAAATAAACAGGACCATAAATGAAAGAGGAGAAATCACAACGGACACAGCAGAAATCAAAAGAATAATCAGTAACTACTATGAACAGTTATATGGAAACAAGTTCAACAATCTAGAGGAGATGGACAAATTCCTACAACTCTACAATCACCCAAAGCTAGATAAAGAAGAAATAGAACACCTAAACAGACCAATTACAAGTAGCGAAATTGAAACGGTAATCAAAAACCTCCCCAAAAACAAAAGCCCAGGACCTGATGGATTTACAAATGAATTCTACCAAACATTCAAAGACGAATTAGTGCCTATCCTACACAAACTCTTCCAAAAAATTGAGCAGGAAGGGACAATACCAAACACGTTCTATGAAGCCAACATTACACTAATACCAAAACCGAACAAGGACAACACAAAAAAGGAAAACTACAGGCCAATCTCCCTAATGAACACTGATGCAAAAATCCTCAACAAAATTTTAGCTATCAGAATCCAACAATGTATCCATAAGATAATTCACCACTACCAAGTAGGATTCGTTCCAGGGACACAAGGATGGTTCAACATCCGAAAATCAATCAACGTTATCCAACACATCAACAAAAAGAAATATAAAAACCGTATGATAATATCAATAGATGCTGAGAAAGCTTTCGACAAAGTGCAACACCCATTCATGATAAAAGCCCTTGAAATTCTTGGGATACAAGGAACATACCTCAACATCATAAAGGCCATCTATGACAAGCCAACAGCCAGTATCATTCTCAATGGTGAAAAGCTGAAAGCAATTCCATTAAGATCTGTAACAAGACAAGGATGTCCACTCTCACCACTGCTTTTCAATATAATACTGGAAGTCCTAGCCAGAGCAATAAGACAAGAGAAAGACGTCCAAGGAATCCAAATAGGAAAAGAAGAAGTCAAACTATCACTATTTGCAGATGATATGATAATATACATAGAGAACCCCAAAATCTCCACAGAAAAACTAATTCAGTAAAGTGGCAGGATACAAAATCAACACACAAAAGTCAGTAGCCTTCCTACACACAAACAATAAATCTGAAGAAGAAGAAATTAAAAAAAAAAACATTCCTTTTATTATCGAAACAAAAAAAATCAAATACTTGGGAATAAATCTAACAAAAGAGGTAAAGGACCTATACAAAGAAAACTATAAAACACTGTTAAAAGAAATAGAAGAAGACACAAAGAAATGGAAAGACATCCCCTGCTTATGGATTGGAAGAATAAACATTATTAAAATGGCCATCCTACCAAAAGCAATATACAGATTCAATGCTATTCCAATCAAAATTTCAATGTCATTCTTCAAAGAAATAGAACAATTATTGATGAAATTCATATGGAATCACCAAAAACCCCGAATAGCCAAAGCTCTCCTGAAAAAAAAAAAGAAGGGAATGGAGGCATCACACTCCCAGACTTCAAACTATACTACAAAGCCATAATCATCAAAACTGCATGGTATTGGAACAAGAACAGACATACAGACCAATGGAATCGAATAGAAAATCCAGAAATAAACCCACAGATTTATGGTCAACTAATCTTTGACAAAGGAGCAAAGACTATGCATTGGAGCAAAGAAAGTTTGTTCAATAAATGGTGCTGGGAAAACTGGGTCGCTACATGCAAAAGAATGAAGCTTGACCACTACCTCACACCATACACAAAAATCAACTCAAAATGGATTAAAGAACTAGACATAAGACCTGAAACCATAAAATACATAGAAGGAAATATAGGCGAAACACTAAGTGATATTCACATCAAAGACATCTTTACAGACACATCACCCAAAGCAGTGATAGTGAAGGCAAAGACAAACAGCTGGGACTACATCAAATTAAAGAGCTTCTGCACAGCAAAAGAGACAATAACAAAAAGAAAGAGAAACCCCACCGACTGGGAGAACATTTGTGCCCACAACACTAATGATAAAGGACAGATCACAAAAATCTGCAAAGAGCTGATGAGACTCAACAACAACAAAGAAAATAATCCAGTGAAAAAATGGGCAGAAGAGCTAAAAAGAAACTTCTCTGAAGAGGAAATGCAAATGGCCAACAGGCATATGAAAAAATGTTCAACATCACTTGTCATCAGGGAAATGCAAATCAAAACTACCATGAGATACCATCTTACACCAGTGAGAATGGCACATATTAAAAAAACTAGCAACAACAAATGTTGGCGAGGGTGTGGAGAAAAAGGAACTCTTCTGCACTGTTGGTGGGAGTGCAAACTGGTCCAACCACTGTGGAGAGCTGTGTGGAGATTTCTGGACCTACTAAACATAGAGCTTCCATAGGATCCAGCAATTCCACTCCTAGGTATTTACTCAAAGGACACAGAAACATCCATTCCAAAGAACACCTGCACCCCTATGTTTATAGCAGCACTGTTTACAATAGCTAAGCTTTGGAAACAACCCAAATGCCCAAAAATAGATGACTGGATCAAGAAGATGTGGTCCATATACACCATGGAATATTACTCAGCATTCAAAAAAGATAAACACATGCAATTTGCAGCAACATGGATGGCGCTGGAAGGGATCATGCTCAGCAAAATAAGCCAGAAAGAAAAAGAAAAACACTGGATGGTCTCACTCATAGCAGGAATCTAGAAAACTTAAATAAGGGACAAGGAAAATGAATAACTATAAGAAAGTGAAAATCAAAATCAACAAGAAACTATGAACCAGAGACACTCTATGGGGGGTAGAGGGCGGGAGGGGAGGCATTGGGGTCAAAATAAGGGGGTTGCAATTGTATGGGGAATATAAAAATAAAATTTATTATAAAAGAAAATAAAACCACTCTCTTAAAAAAAATACAGAGAGAATACCAATTATGATTTCCTAACTTTCTGCATTTCCCTGAAATTTCAAGTAAAATAAATGCACAGAACAGATTCCAGGATAAACCAGGCCCTTGTAGCGATCGAGCTCACAGTAAAATGCCTCAGGTAACAGCAGCCCTTAATTCTGACCCTGCATTCCAGCCCCACTGCCCCTCTCTTACCAGGCCCCCTTTTCTGCGCTGAGGTGGAGGGTTCTGGCAGCTCCTCTCCATCACTGGAGTCATCACTGCTGATCACTGCACAGAGAAGTAAAACCCTTTAGGGTCTGGGATGGGGGTCTGGGATGGGTTCCAAGGACCCCCATAGCAGGGATCCCCACCATGGATACACTGGGAAGACCCACTTCGTTCTACCAATTTCTACCCCCCTCACTTGATCTCCATCCTCTACCCTCACCCTACATCAGCTGTGCAAACTCACACAAATAACAACAGACCCCCTAAGCTGATTCTTTCTCCTCTGAAAAATGGGGACGCAACACCAACAACATGAAGTTTCTGAGAACATTCAATGACATGTCGTCAGTATCACCATGTGGGATATTCTGAATGACCAGCAAATTCAATCATGATGATGAATGCCATAAAGGCATCATTTAATTTTGAATAGCTCAACAGCATTAATAAGAGCGATTAAGACTTGTGACAGGGGCCGCTAGCTGCTAATGTGCCAACGGGTTTACTGGGAGGCCTGTCTGATGTTTGGAGAGTGCTCCAGGCCTGCTGTCCAGGGGCCCTGGGTGCACAGTAGGGTGGGGGTTGGGGAGTGGTACAGGCCCTAGCAGCCATAGTTCTGCAGCAGGTAGTGCAACCCCCCCCCCCCCCAGCACCACAAGGAATGGTCACCACCGCCCTCCATTGGCCACAGCTGGACATGACATCAAAGCAGGGCAGCAAGACCAGGCAGAAACCTGAGAAGCCAGCACCTGGGCAAAGCCTCCAAGCCAGAGCCAGCGGGCAGGCAGCGCATTTAAGGAGATGGGCTCTGCCGCCACCCAGGCAACAAGAGGAAGGCCTGTGACTGAGAAATTAGTACAGAGATGGAGGATTCTGAGCCATTAGTAAGACAAAGCAAAAGCCCCCAACCTCCTCCGCCCTTCACCTCAGCACATTCTGTGAAGCCACGTAGCATAAACTTTGAGAAGGTCAGCATGAGTGTGTGTTTGTTAACTGCTGTGTGCCCCCTGCACAGCTGTGTGTGTGGCATGTGGTAAGAGCTCATAGACACTTGTCAAAAAAATATTGGCCCTGGACACCAAAAGGTAGAGAATAAATCTAGTTACCATTTTCAAAAACATAGCGTAAGTCTGGGTACTCCTTCATGTTGTTCTCGCTGAACAATGCTTCTAGAAATCTCCCATCAGCTTTCTTCTCCAGTTCATGGAGGACATTGTACACCACTCTTTGTACAGGAACCAGGTTTCTACACGATTCTTGACAATCCTAAAAAATACAAATGGAGAAAATATAAACACACACTTTTACCTTACAGAAGAGTTCCAGAAAATGATTTTGTGTTAATGTATTCCTGCTCTCCGCGTAGGTATCTTCTCATGGAAAGGTATAGAACCTCTGTCTATTTGGTTACTAGATGAAACAAGGAAATCCTTCCTTCTTAAAAATATCCATTTGTGAATCTGATCTCTCCACCCTCATATGCATTTCACGTAAGAAGAGATTTTGAGGAATAAAAGTGGGTTCACACTTACACAATCGTGTGGCCCTTAAAGAACCTGGCAAATGGTTTCAGGCAGAGGCTCAGCAGGGGATAAGTTCTGTTGACAGGACCACCCTGCCCATTCCCCATCACTGACTTGACTTGAAGGGCTCCAGGAAGCCTGGTGATGGTTCTTTCCTTGTGTGACCTTTGCCATGAAAAAGCATGCGCATCGGGCAGAGGAGACTTGCATGTCTTGCCAAAGACGTCTTTTGTTGACATTAACCCAGATGCCAAGACTTCTAGCTCCAGTGCTACTGACCCCAACTCCAGCGGGCACCACTGCCCCAGTTCCTCTGGTTAGAGCAGGGCTGTCTCTGGACATGCCTCCTTCTCCTCTGCCTTTTATCTTAGAGAAACACTTGGAACAACAATATTTGACAAGGTCCCCCATCCGTAGGAGACTCCTCAGTTTCCTAGCTGTGCCCTGACTTTTGGATTTAGGATAGCAAGGCATAAGCTATGTGGGGGCCAGTGAGACAGATCGTGACATAAAAACTTCACTTACTTCATACAGGTTGTCGCTGATGAACCCCCGGTCATGGAGGGTTTCAAGGAGAGGAAATGTCTTTCTTTGGGCATCTTTTTGGCAAATCCCCAGTTTATGTCTTTTAAAGTGACTGAATAGAAGGTGACAGAAAATCCTTTGATCTGTGTCCTGGTCTTCGGTGGACATCCTAGGGAGGAAGGGTAACATGAATAAATGCCAAAAAGATTCTGGGTGGCCTGTGAAGGCTATAAGGGTATGTATGTAAAGGATAGGCTGTGAAGAGCCAATATATCTGAAACAAAAATGGTTTTGGGTAGAAGCTAGTATAAATGGATTGAAGCAGAATAGGAAGATATGATTGAAGAAAACTCGAAGACTAGGAGGACTTCAGCACAAGACTCAGAAAGTCCAGTCTCTCCTGATCTAAGCTAGATTCCCACGCATCCAGTAGAGATTCCCACGCATCCAGTATATTTTTTTAAATTTTGAATTACTACAAAATGGATTTGAAATAAACAGAGGAATGAAAAACAATGGGATGGAAGTAAAATCTAACCTGGAGACGGTTTCATTCTAAAACAAGATCAGCTGGACTCAGGCCAGCAGCTCTCCCGCTGCTGTTGAAAAGACCCGGAGTGCTGGCTGCATGGTCCACGCCTGCCTTTCAGCACATGGCGAGTGGGGGGTCTTGTCCTCACGCCCCGAGCCAAGGTTTCGTTGCGTGTCTGCACGAGACACCCAGAGCAGCAGCCTGGCCAGAGGGAAAAGGCAAGGTCCAGAGGGACAGACTGACCTGGTGCTGAGGTCTCTGCTCTCTTCGGCCAGCGTCCCGCCCTGCCCCTGCTTGGTCCAGCAGCCGGGCTCTGTCCTTTCAGTCTCACCAGCCTGGGGGAGGAGGCTGACTGGCTGGCCCCACCCTGAGCAGGAAGCTTAGGTACCCATTTCCCAGAGAAGCCCCGCCCAAGTGGGGAACAGAGAAGTGAAAGTAATTCCTGTGCCCTGCACATTTCCTCGGGCAGTGTCAGGAATGGGGCCACAGGAAGGAAGCCCGGGGAGGGCGTCAGGGCCTGGAGGGCGAGGGGAGGACCCCAGGGAAGAGCCCCAGCCCCCAGGAATTTGCTTCTTTGTGCAAAGCCCCCAAAGCATCTCTGTGCACCCATCTGTCCTCAGCCGCTTCTGCCTCCTAGGAGGGGGACCTCCAAGCTCACCCTTCCCCGAGCTGAGAGGGCTGTGGGGGGTGGGGGTGGGAAGAGGGAACGGTCAGTGCTTCTGCCAGGCCCAGGCAGGGGGGAGCCCAGGGCCAGGCTGGAGAGAAGCCAGCACCCCACAGTGTGGCTGGGGAGGCGGTGCCTAGGTTTCTGGAAATCCCTCAGAGGTAAAAGCAGCTCAAGGTGGTGGGGGCAGAGGTGGAGCCAAGCTGGGGAGCCTTTAAGGTGCCTTTAAGTGGAGGCTGCTTTGTGCCTGCAGCCTGAGGTGAGGCTGGAGGGAACAGAGGAGCTTCCAGGAAGCCCGGAGGGAAAGAGGGAGGAGGTGGAAGTGACCCCAGAGGAGCCAGACATGAAAGGGGGGGGGACCCCAGGGCATGTCTCACCCTCAGAGCTGCTCCGTCCTTGGAATTTTCATTCAGGGTCTGAGGATCCTTCCAGGAAGGGCAAGGAGAGGCCGGAAGATGGACATGGGCGCCAAAGGAACTGGCGTTAGCAAGGGCCTGGGTGCGGCTGCCTCTGCCGCTGAACGCCAGTGAACTTAATGGAAAGAGGGAGGCTTTCACTCAGACACATAGTGCATCCGAGTGAATAGGACCCCCTTCCCTGTGCGCTGGACTGGACACTCAGTGACGGGTAAGATGGGGGGCAGACTAAAGAAGGCACTGGCCAGCCGCATGTCTGCGACTCCTGACGACCTAAGACAGGCGCAGTCCCCGAGGGGCTTCATCATGATAAACTTTGGCGTTCACATCAGACAAATGGCCTACATGCCTGTAAGCCGAATCCAGGCGGAAAGCCCGCAGTGAAAAACCCCTTCTTTTGGCTGAGAACATGGCTGCTGCCTGATGGCGTCACCAACAAAGCGGTTTAACTATTAACCAGTTGGTCATTGTTCCTGCAGAAGAAGCAACATAGCAACCAGTCTATAATTATACTCTTTTCTTACTGACTCTACTTTTTCTATTTTGTGTGAAATCTGTTTCAGGAAATGCATGATAAAGACAATAATGTGTGGCCAATTAGTTTCAAAATAATCATAGTACTTCTCACATGAGTCAATACCACAAAAATTAAAATGCTTACGTAGAAAAAACATTGTTCACCAAAAGTAAAATATACCAGTAGTTAAACATTAATACTTTCTGATAATTAGTGGTCTTGGAAACGAAACCAGAAAAACTAGCTTAAGAAATGCTGTTCTGTGTAATCAAAAATAATTGTGTAGATTTAGATTCCTGTAATCAGTACCTTGCGATTGCTTAGTGTCCCATGCCATGGAACATGGATCACATGTACCTGAATGATGAAGTAGATGTCTTAGGTATGACTAAACATCTCATGCTGAGACAGAATTAACTTGTATGAAATCATCCATTGTTAAAAAAAGTATAACGTCTATGGGCACCATGTATACCAATCTGTCAATCACTGGAGGTCAAGACAGACAGAAGGACATACAGACATACAACATATAGACAAAGACAGTTTTTTTTTTTTTATGCCATGTAGAATATGTTATGTAACTGCAGTTTTACTCCATAGGCTTAGAAAAAAAATGTCAAAGTCCAAAAAAAATGTGGAGTGTTGCTGGCAGAAAAATTTGCGGTTGTCATCCTACAAACCTAAGACTTTGGAAATAGGAAGGAAAAGTTTTATTAATCACAAGAGTTACACGACCTTGTTTATCACATTAGGGTTTTCAGTGTTGAAGACTTTTTGTTAGAAGTCAATCCTGGGGTATTCTGTACAGCAACTGAAAGAATAAAAATAACAGTTAACTTTTAAGCAAAAGGAGTCATCTCTTGTTAGCCACCAAGCAGGCACTCCTTGGGTTTCCTGGAATAGAACCTGAAAAAGCAAAATCAAATTATTAGTAATTAACTTTCAATTAAAAGGAGTCATCTCCTTACTTTTGTTAGCCACTCTGGGACAGAAGCTGAAAGAGCAGATTAAACATCTAAGCACAGATTACACCTCCCCCACACTAGGGAGGGGCAACAACAACACAGGTATGAAAACCTGGTACAGTTACATGATGCACCCTAAAGAGTGCTTTCCACAACAGACCTTCCTCAGTAGGAAGCAGAAACTTAGAATCTTGTCTTACACCAGCAATTGAACAAATCCAGTATTTAAAATGGCAAACATGCCCAAAACAAATTGTGTAGACAAAATTCACAGTAGCAAATCCTTCAAGACTCAGACAAAATCTTGTTAATTTTTCTGATCCAGACTTTGCAAAAATTCAAGTTATCTCCAAGAATCCATGAAGGATACTAGCAATTACCAGTTACTGCTTAAGGCTACTGTTTCCTTAACACCCAGGCATACATTTGGTAATTAAAAACACCACCGCTCCACAGTTGGCTTGCAAAACCGGTCAGACACAGGGCAGGAAGTAGTCAAAGACAAAGCAACATACCACTGAAGAACCATTATTGCCTTTAGAAATGCTAATGAGACAGCAGAGATTACAAAAAGAAAGAAAAAAAAAGTTCCAAGTGGCCTCAGACGCCATCTTTGATCTGGCCACATGGTCCAATGTACTGCCTAATCTTTTGAGTAAAACTGGCACAGAACAATTTCCACAAAATCAAAATTTCTTAGCAAGTCACTACAAACAAATTACACACAAACACACAGAATCTTCACAAAGCCCAAGCCAGTTTTTTAACAGAAATCGACATATGAAACAAACACACCGGAGAAACCAAAAATCACATTTGCGCTTATGGTAGCCAGCGCCACAGGGAAGCCCAATTTCCCCATGGGGCTGACTAACCACGGATGGCTCTGTCCTAAATTACGTTGGACGCCAAATCTGTTATAGGACAGGGAGAGGGGCAGCCCAAACCCCGCAAACCTGCCTATTCTAAATGGGTTCTGCCATCCGCCGCATCAACACAAAACATATGACACTTTAATGGGAAGGAACTTTAATAAAACTAGGAAACAATACAGGTAAGGCAAAGAGTCTAGTTTCTAAATGAAGCACCCAAAGTTACCCATCCCCTCGTGGGTAAAACTCCATCCATATGGGGTCGGCCCAGAGCAAGGCCCCAAAGCCTGCCACAAGTCTAAAACATCTTCCAGTGGGGACCCACAGAAAAGGGTCACAAACAACCGGACAAGCCCGGAAGGAAAAGAGCAAAATCAACATCCAAATAAAAGCTGCCATTGTCACCTCCCATGGGTCTCACCCACATCTGTGTCACCCAGTCCACGACCAAAAGACAAGCGCAGTTTCTTCACATGTCTCTAGGCTCCATGCGCCTCCTTCAGGTCTCCTGGCTCCATCCTGCTTCCTTCCTCAGTCTCTTCTTCTGCTTCTCCTCTTGCTGCTCAGCTCCACCCTCCCTTGGGTGGGGCAGGGAACCTCCCCCTTTCCTGGGGACCACCCTGTTGCATAATCAGTACCTTGCGATTGCTTAGTGTCCCATGCCATGGAACATGGATCACATGTACCTGAATGATGAAGTAGATGTCTTAGGTATGACTAAACATCTCATGCTGAGACAGAATTAACTTGTATGAAATCATCCATTGTTAAAAAAAGTATAAAAGTGTATAATGATTTTGAGCAAATTACATTCAGATCTTCACTCTTGAAGTGTGTCTGCCTGTCATTTATGCCTCGAATCCTTGACCATCCTGCACGAGATTCACATCCCTGGGACGGCCTGGCCAGTCGACCGCTGCGCTGGTCCGCGGCACCTGGGCCGGGGCTTCTTCCCCTTCTGCTCTTTCTCTCCTCCAGAGGAGTGGGCGTCGGCCTGGTGGGGACAGGCTGCTGGACTGATGCCCCGACTGATGCCTGGGCTGAGGGGGTCCCTGGGGTGGCTCTGGCTCCCTCCCACTGACTCTCTTGCCCCCTTCATGTTTCTCCCTCCCTTGTATGTCCCATTTGGGGTTCAGCTTTAGGGACCCCCTCACTGCCACACATCTAAGCCACATGCCCAAATCCAGCTTTTTTCCAGAAAGGAAGCTGGGATGTTGATCTCCAGCTGCAGCGCCATCAAGCACAGGGCAGATTCTCTATGACGCGGGCAGCCGGGTAAAGGAGAGTCCTGAGCCCTCACAGGCTTCTCCAGGCCTCTGTTGAGGCTTTCACACCACCTGTCAACCAGGCCCAGGGCAGGCAGGGGCCCCTGGCCAGTCCTCACTCTTTCTGGGCTCTCTGCGTTCTCTCGTGGCCCCTGTTTCTCTGCTACCGCTGGTGTCTCTGCGCCGCCGCCCTGCTTAGCCCGGCCTCCCAGCCCAGCGGCGCCCACTTACCCACTGACCCACGCCCTACGCCAGGTGTCCGCCATCAGGCACACGTGAAAGCCACAGGTGAGGATATTACACGCCAATGGCGGGAGGGTGGAAAATCCTGACAGTTTCCATTCACCCTGCACCACCTGTCTCTGTTGGTAGATTCCTTTTTTTTTTTGGTAGATTTCTCTGTTGGTTTTGTAATGGGGGGGGTCCCCAGGAAAGGGGGAGGTTCCAGGTTCCCTGCCCCACCCAAGGGAGGGTGGAGCTGAGCAGGGAGAGAAGAAGCTGCAGAGGAGACTGAGGAAGGAAGCAGGATGGAGCCAGAAGGAGCCCTGGAGGAGGCACATGGAGCCTAGAGACACGTGAAGAAGCTGCGCTTGCCTTTTGGTCGTGGACGGGGTGACACAGACGTGGGTGAGGCCCGTGGGGAGGTGATCATGGCAGCTTTTATCTTGATTTTGATTTTGCTCTTTTTTTTTTTCTTTAAAAAAGAAGCAAGGTGGGGTGGGGGTGGGCAGAAGGGGTCAATCATATAGTGAAAGATGGTGAGTTTATTTTATTTTTATTTTTTTGTGGGACCCTCGCTGGCGGCCGGGGAATGAACCGGCGGCGCTGCAGAGGCCGCGGGCAGCCTCGCAGCCCAGCACTCAACCGCTGCGCCACCAGGGGAGGCCCTGATTTTGCTCTTTTCCTTCCGGGCTTGTCTGGTGGTTTCTGACCCTTTTCTGGGGTTCCCCACTGGAAGGTGCTTTAGACTCGGGGCAGGCTTTGGGGCCTTGCTCTGGGCCAACCCCATTTGGATGGACTTTTACCCACGAGGGGACGGGTGACTGGGTGCTTGATTTAGAAACTAGATTCTTTGCCTTTCCTGTGTTGTTTCCTAGTTGTATTAAAGTTCCTTCCCAGTAAAGTCTCATGTTTTGTGTTGACGCGGCGGATGGCTGAACCCCATATAGAACAGGCAGGTTTGCGGGGTTTGGGTTGCGCCTCTCCCTGCCCTGTAACAGTGTGAATTCAGGTGGGGGACAGAATGCGCTTGGCCAACGACACACTTTACAGGGCCGAGCAGGTGTGTGTGTGTCCTACCCCTAAAGTCTTGTCCGCCTGTGCCCAGGTGGGTCAAGAGGTGGGGATCACACACCTGCAAGCGTGTGCTCGTAACACAGTTGACTGGCATGGGCTCTGTGGGCATTTGGTGGAAATGTTGCAGATGTAGGCACAGGGGTGAGGGGGAGCCGCCTCTTCCCGCTCAATAGAAGCTCTGTGACTGGGCAAAGGAGCTGTGGACTCCTGAGGCTACAAAGATCGTCAGCAAGCAGAGGACCCTTAGGAGAAAATGTGGTGATTTCTGTAGGGAAGGGGGTGACGCCTTGGGAGGGGGGATGGGAAGACCCATCCGGGCAGAGGAGGACGGGTTGGAGGCTGAGGGGCTTCGGGGAGTGGGGAAGAGAAGGGGAGCCTGGGGGACTGCAGAAGTCCCTCTGAGCCACTGAGGGGGGGGTCTGGGGTCGTCTGCGAATGGCCCAGAGATCACCCACAGTCCTGTGCACCCCACGGAGGAAGGAGGCGGGTCCAGGTCCACAGGCTGGGTCACCCCCAGAGTGGGCACCATCACCCGTAGCCCTTCACTGGGAGCCCCGGGCTCACCTCAGGGCAGCTGGTGACGTCCTGTAACCACGTCACAGACCCCCCGGTGTAGAACAAAGCAAGGCAGGAGCCTGAGGCTGCCACCCCATTTTTCATTTGGGGCCCTGGAGTCTCCACCATCTCG